TGTTATTTCCCTTATCATTATTATTATTGGTGGCAGCAGTAGTGGTTTGTGTTATACCTTAGTTACTGGACTGTTCTTATCTCAACCCGTGGGAGTTGCATTCTTTCAATTCTCCTCCCTATCCCTCCAGGAGCGGGGGGTGGGGAAGGGGGGGAGTTGAGAGAGAGACTGTGTGGTTCTGATTTACGGCTGGGCTTAAACCACGACACCTCCTCACTGGCAGAGCATGTGACTGAAAAGTCCTTGATTGGAGTAAACATTACTTAGCAACAACTAAAAACATTGGTGTGTTATCACCACTGATCTCAGACTAAAGTTGAAAACACAGCACTGCACCAGCTACTAAGAAGGAGAAAAATAACTGCTACAGCTGAACCCAGGACACCCAAACACCGAGACCTGAGGGCCCCCACTAGTGACTGGTCACCAGCTAGATGTGATACCATTTACCACCCCTCTTTGGGCTCAACCATCCTGCCATTTTCCAACCCAGCAAAGAATATACCTATCTAGGTATGACATCAGCAATCAGTTTCTCCAGGAGAATGCTGTGGAAGACAGTGTCAAATGCTTTACTTAAGTCCAAATAGACAATGTCCACAGACTTTCCCTCATCAACCAGGCATGTCACCTTACTGTAGAAGGGGATCAGGTTGGTCAAGCAGGACCTGTCCTTCATGAACCCGTGCTGACTGGGCCTGATCCTCCATTTTCCCCCATGTGCTTTATGATCTCACTTAGGATGCTGACCTTCCATGACCTTCCCTGGCACTGAGGTCAGACTGACAGGCCTGTAATTTCCAGGGTCTTCCTTCCTGCCCTTTTCGTGGAAAGGCATCATGCTGGCCAACTTCCAATCCTCTGGGACCTACCCACTAGACCAGGACTGCTGATAGATGATTGAGAGTGGCTTAGCAAGCTCCTCTGACAGCTCCATTAGCACTCTTAGGTGTAACCCATCCGGCCCCATAGACTTGTATACGTCTAAGTAGAGCAGGAGGCCACTAACCATTTCTTCCTGAATTATGGGGACTTTAATCAGCTCCCCATTTCTGTCATACAGCTCAGGGAACTGAGTACCCTCATAAGTAAATAAGTCATAAGTAATTTATAAATAAGTCATTATCTCAATTGCTTCCCAAATTGAACTTTTCAGAAATTATTTGAGGCTGTCTAAATACATTTGTATATGTACATGTATCTTTTCCAGAAGAAAATAAATACTAGATGAAAAGAGCAAAGGGTCACAAAACTCTTTTTATCCCTAACCTATTAAATTTAAACAAAGCACTATTTTCTAACAAAGTGTCCTGGGTTCAGCAGTAGCAGTCATATTTCTCCTTCGTGGTAGTTGGTGCAGTACTGTGTTTTGACTTCCAGCCAAGGAACAGTGCTGGTGATACCGATGTTTTTGGTTGTTGCTAAGTGATGTTTACCCTGACCAAGGACTTTGTGAGGCTCATGCTCTGCCAGGGAGGAGGGGAAGCCGTGAGGAAGCAGAGACGGGGCGCCTGACCCAGGCTAGCCAAAGAGGTATTCCATACCACAGCACGTCATGCCCGGGGTGGGGGGTAACTGGGAGTTACCCGGAAGGACACGTGCTTCCGGGTGGGACTCGTTTCTTGGCCGGTGGTATTGTATTCTCTTCCCTTGTTATTTTCTCTTATCATTGTTGTGTTGGTAGTAGCGGTGGTGATTTGTGTTGTGCATTGGTTTCTGGACTGTTCTTGTCTCAACCCATGGGAGTTGCACTCGTTCGATCCTCCTCCCCATGGGAGCGGGGAACAGGAGAGCCCCACGGGGGGGGAGGGCCTCGATTGCTTTCAGCCCGGCACCACTCACTGGGAGTGAGTGAACAGGCTGTCTGGCTAGGGTTTAAACCATGACACAAAGGAAAATCAGAAGGTTGGTTTTTTTTTTTTTTTATTGTATTTTGGTCCGTAATTTCATTTTATAACCATGTTTTGGCTTATTTCAAGGAGGAAGATGATGGCCAAAGGAGCTCTTTGACGCAGAGTTTACCTGCCAAAAGCTTTTTAAGCCAAAATTCTTCACAGGAAAATGTCACTGGAAGCTCTGCCAAGAATCATTGAAACTATTTATTTTTGTTTCATTCGGATACAGAATGACACAATATAGCTCCAGTTGGGTGATTTAATTTAAACAAACAAGCCTCCCTTCCATGTCAAAGCGCTGATTCAAAATGACAGTTCTCAGTTGGTTTCAATCAGAAATGTCAACATTTTTCTGTGTGACATTCCTGATTCAGAAGTTTTTGAGTTGTGTATTTGTTTGGGAGGAGGTTGGGTTGATCTGTTGGTCATCAGGGGATTTTTGTGCATTTTATTTATTTGTTTGTGATACAGGGTTAACCAATGTACAAAGGGTTGTACAGGGGGGTTAGAGGAATTTGCTTGCTTAAACAAAAGTATTGTCTGTAGTAAATGCCTACTAAGCAGAACAAAGACACCTGGTTCTATTGATAAGGAAAAGGAGACACCTGGTTCTATTGATAAGGAAAAGCAGACACTTGGTTCTATTGACAAGGAAAAGCAGACACCTGATTCTACTGATAAGCAGCTATTGATAAGGAAAAGCAGACGCCTGAATCTACTGATATGGGGGAGCAGCAGATGGTTTATGGCTGGGACACCGACTAAACCCTAAGGCCATACCTGAAGACTAAAAGGTGAAAAGTTCAAGAAGAGGAAGACTCATTTACTTTATCTTGAGACCCCTGCCCATGACCAGAGGGAGCACTGCGCAGGCACAAAGGACCTTCTAACTCATTATAAGGGTAGGACATGAATATGTCTAGGCGTATTGTGCAACCTTATGAACATATATAACTTTAGAGAATAAATGTAGAGGGAAACAACACTGAGGTACGCATGACTTTGAGGAATTATCCCCGTGCCTCTCAGCACTGAATAAAAAGCATACCTACTTTACAACTTTAACGAGTTGTGGAGTCTATCCGCGTATCATTTGTTTTCTCATGTTGATGGAGAGAAGCAGGTGGAAAGGACCATGAGCCTTTTGCCTCTACCCAAGCTCATCAGTTTGGGATTTGTAAGTATCACAGCAGAGGTCAGTCATGTGGAGAGATCCAAAGGGAAATAATGGCTTGATGTGCTCTTTATCTAGGAGGTTTTTCCAGAAAGGATGAGGAAACAAGGTGGTACTACGCACCCATGTAGTTGAGTCTGCTGAGGGTTGGTAAGGGCTAAGCTGGCAGCTTGTGGAGCACACAAAGCTCTCCTACCCAGCTGATGTTAGATTGGGACCTGTGTCTTAGATGTGTTGCTACACATTTAAGGGATCTTGGCACCATGGCTGGTGGGGGTCAACCCAGGTAATCCTTGCATCAGTTGAACCCTGAATTCAAGTCACATCCTGCAGTTACCATTTGTCCCCAAGCAAAGGGGAGAAACTTGGTGTACTTTGAGCATCCTGCAATACTCTGGGATTCTTTAATCCTTAAAATAGGCGTTCGGAGTCCTTGCTTGTCTCCCCCAGCCCCAGAAAGGGATTCCTCACCTTAGGTCTGAACAGCACTCACTGGATTCCAAAAATCCCCCGCATAGGTCATGAGCCCACAGTGGCTGTGCTATGAAAAAGATATTGTAGGGGGCGGCGGGGAGGGGGGAGGGATGGAAACTGAGATTAGAGTGGGATAAATGCCACTAACCTGAGACTCACCTTCTCTGAGCTTTCTCCCCTGCCCCCATCGCTGCTGTTGTGTCAGGTAGCGGCACTGTTGAGTACAATAACCCAGGGCTGAGTATTGCAGCCACACCGAGCGTGTGGCTCTGTGTGTGTGCGCGCCTGATCATTACCATTTATACACCACACACCACCCCCCCCCCCCCGAGTGCTGCAGGACTCCGGAAGCGATCGAGAGAAACAGAAGAAAAAGAGACATAGCCATCAGCCCCCAGATCTGTTTAAACAAATCGCCACGCCTTGCAGAGAGGGAGAGAGCGGGGAACCAGACCAAAAGACAAAATAAAAGACAGGGAAAGGAAAATTCAGTGGGGAGCAAAAAGCAGCACTCGGACGCACCCTTCCCGAGACTGTACCCTCAGCGAGGGGGGAGTGTGGGGTGGTGGTGTTGTGTGTCTATGTCTGAGTACCGGGCAGGAAGAGGGGGTATTTCCCCCCCCCGCCTCCCCCTTGCCCTTCTTCGGTGAGGCCCGGCGCGGGGAGCGGGTGGCCTCAGCCCCGCATCCCACCAGAGCTCCGGCACCAGCACGGGCCCGCTTCGGAGACGAGAGACCCAGAATTCCTTGCCTCCAAAGCAGCCCTTTTCTCGTCGCGGGGTTTTGCTTTCTTTTTCTTTTCTTTTCTTTTCTTTTCTTTTCTTTTCTTTTCTTTTCTTTTCTTTTCTTTTCTTTTCTTTTTTCTTTTCTTTTCTTTTCTTTTTCTCGCTGGGAAAAGCAAAACCGAAAACGCTTCTCCCTGCTTTGCCCCGCTTCAAAAGGCTCCCAACTAACAACAACAAAGCAAAAAAAGCTCCCTTAAAAAAAAAAAAAGGTAAAGAAAAAGCGAGAGAGCCAGAGACAAGCTCCATCAATTTAATATCCAGTATTTTATCTAGTGCACTGACTTTATCACACTCCCCCCCACTTCTCCTCCTACCCATCCCCCTTTTCATTTTACTTTGGATCCTGCTAAAATTATCCGGGACCGTTCTGGGTGTTGCATGTTAATTTGATTTACTCCGGGATTCTGTTTTACAAGACGCCATTTTCCCCCCTTCTTGCTCGCTCGCTCTCTCTCTCTCTCTCTCTCTCTCTCTCTCTCTCTCTCTCTCTCTCTCTATCTCTCTCTCTCTCTCTCTCTCTCTCTCTCTCTATCTCTCTATCTCTCTCTCTCTATCTCTATCTCTATCCATCCATCCATCCATCCATCCATCCATCCATCCATCCATCCATCTGTCCGTCCATCTCCCTCTTCCCGGGCGCCTCCTCCCCCCGCCCTCCTCCCTCTCCGCTCGTCGTATACTGGGCGGTCGTGCGCTCCCCTAATCTGACAGATGAACACCATCATGGATTTGCCGCCACACAAGCAAAAGCACCTTTGGCGTCTGCGGTGAGGGATTGAAACCGGGATTTAAAAGAGAAGAGACAAGAAGGGGAGGAATCCGAGGAAGGAGGAAGTAAGAAGAGGAAGCTGCTAAGAAGGCCCTGTTGCCATTTTGGGGATATGGGTTAGTAAAGGGGGAAAGAAAAAAGAAAAAAACAGAAAAAAAAAGGCAACAAAAAATCTGAGCCATCCAGGAAAGGTCTGTCTTGATGATCCGGATTGCAGGGAGGGTTTTACTCCTCCACCCTTCCCCTCTGCATGCAGAAGTTGTCTCTTTTTATTTTTTTTAAGAAAAAAAAAAGTCTTGTGACTTTGCAAGGGCGCGGAAAGGGCTTTATTACTTTTTTTTTTGGGGGGGGGGGATATTTCTCTGTTAAGCAATGAATGCGAGTCCTCCTCTCCCCCTCAGACCCCTTCCCTTCCCATGCTTTGTGGCTGGGGGGGGTGTTGTATGTGAGGACGGGGGGGGGTAAGACCGTGCTGCTGGGAAGGGGTTGCAATTTTTTTTATGAGTTTGCATAATGTATTTACCCCCCTTTATATCGCCCCCCCTTCCCCCCGTCTTTCGTAGCCGATGTTTCCCCGACGGTGCCGGGGGTAGGTGACAGCGATATGCATGCGTGAGGAAAGGCGGGTGTGTGTGTTAAGTGGCGCTAGAGAGCAACATTGTAACCTTGTGGGTATTTGTGTGCGTGTGCACGGGGTCCGTAGTGGGAAGGGCTGTTCTGGGGAGGCCGCCGCGGCCCCGCGCTTGTTTTGACATTGAAAAGGACACGCAGTTCCGAAAAGCGGCAGTCTGCAGGAGCAAAGAAGAGAGAAAAAGGGTGTGTGTAATTAGCAGTGCGGGACCCTCCCGCTCCCCCTGCTCGGTGGCGAAGTGAGTTATTAACAATCCGGTGATTGCCGCCTCCGGGACCCCGGGTGGAAGTGGAGTTCAGATATTAGGGGGTGGGGTGGGGGTGGATAATTTTAGTTGGGAGGGAGGGGTGTCAAAACGCAGACTGTAGTCGTGGGAGGCTATTGTCAATTCCAGCCCTGGCGCAAGGCGCCCTGCCTACCTCCGTGCACACGCACGCTCACACACCTTTTCCTCGCCGGGTTTCCCCGGGGTGAACTGGGAGATCAGGTCCCTCCGGCGAGGCGGGGACCCCCTCCCGCCCTCGTTTCCCGGTGTGTGTGCATTCACACCGGGCACTGGCAGTCCCCGACTTTGCCTGCTCCTGCCTGTGTGTATTTATGTGTCTAAAAATACAATTAAGAGAAGGATTTCCGATTCGTTTCCGCTTCAAATAAACGGCGCTGATAATCTCGGGCCTGACGCCTGATGTTAAAATGGCACTTCACCGCCGGGAGTTGGACCCTGCGGGAAGTGGGGGGTCCCTAGTTCGCTCCCCCGGGCGGTCAGGTCCCCCCATCGAGGGAGGAGGGTGTGCATTGGAAGGTGGCTGGGGGGTGCGACACTGCCCGCCCATGCCGGTGTAGAGGGGTGCCGGTGCCCCACTCCGGGCCGGGGATGCGGGCCGGCTGCTGCCAGGAGCGTGGCGAGCCGAGCCGGGCGCTGGGAGGAGTCCGCGGCAAGCAAGTGCGGCCGGCGGGAGGGGAGAGAAGGAGGGAGGGGTGAGATCGAGGGGAGCCGGGTAAGGATTCCCCCCCGCCCGCAGACGTGTTTCATTAGCCGCGGGCCTGCGGTGGTCTGGCCGGGCCAGACGGGACCCGCAGTGCCGCCTTGTACCTCCATCTGTCAAACCGTAAAGGGTGTGCTGAGCCTGCTAGTCCTCTGCTGTCAGGGCGAGTAATCCGATTCTTTCTGTATCGACAAGGAGGCTTTTAAGGGTAAAGGACTGCTGGCAAATCCAATCCCACGTTGAATATTATGGATCCAAATAGGAACAATTATTGATCCGACAGCCCCTGCAACTAGGACTAACTTGGTGCAAGCTACAGTAATGATATAATCAGCCATCTAACATTGGGCAGTGACAGCACGAGCCTGAGGAAACAAGTGTCTAGGACCTTTTATTGCAGACAGGAGGAAAAATGCCTATCGAGGAAAATGTGCAAGCGGATGATTCACATGCCTCTTTCTGTGCTTCTTCGGCCTTCGCTGAGATGACTCCCCTGAGTCAGAAGCTCCTTCTACTCAAAGAATATTTTTTTTTCATCACCATTTGGTTTTCAGCTGAAAGGAGAAAAAACCAAAACCACCCTCAAAACAATGAAGTTGTACTTTAACCTCTGCTTTTTAGCTTGGAAGGGTTATGTAAAAGCAGAGGAAAATTGAAAAAGAAGAAAAAAAGGCAGAAACACTCAGTGAATGGAGGCTTCTCTTCCATCTCTTACTGTTTTGTTCTTTTTGGTTTGGTTTGGTTTGGTTTTTTTTTAAGTTCTCAGACTCAAAGTTTTAATTGAAACCAGAAATCTATTGAGAAGTAACCGAGCCAAGAAAACCTCTGTTTTCTCTACAGCTAGGGATGGAGAATAAATAACTTTTTGCTGGCCTTATTTCAAGTTGTTTGAGCTCTTTGGTTCCTACCAAAAATCCCAGCATAGATTATTAACACATTAACATTTTAAGAGGATGCAGTCTCTGAAATGTAATAAAATGGTGTGTTAGGTTTGTGCAGAGCCATAAATTATGCTAGTTGTTGGTAAACAAAAGAAACAGTGCCCATGATTTATTATTCTTAAAAATAATAACTGAGCTATTTAGATTGACTTTATATTTACTGATTTTCTCTACTGAAGTTGCTCAGTATCATTTCCAGTAATGTACTTTGATTAAGTTGGGAACTGTTCTTTAACAACTGCTATTGCCATGTACTTAATTAACTCAAGGACTTAAATACTTCAAAAGGTCCAACCATCATCTTCTGGCTTTAGATGCTGCTTAATCTCCTCTTCTGGTCTTTTCTGACCTTTGAGCTACTTTTCCCCAGCATGCACATCTCTTAGGTGTAAGTGCCAGTTTAGCAACCAGACTCTTGTTTTCCATTACAAGATTTGGCTAATCCCAGTTTCAGTGACTATTTTTGTCCTCTCAGTAGGACTTAATTGCTCACACATAATCTTTCCCTTCTGTTTTCTTTCCCCTTTGAACAACACCCTCCAGGACTGAAAAACTCTTGCCTTGTGCTCCGAAAATTGCAATTACACAGCAATTCTGACTCTTGACCCAACTAGTAGCTAGAAAGGCTATTGTCTAATGAAGCATATAAAAACAGTTCTGTGATCCAACAGATTGCTGTGATGGAATTGAAAGCTGTCCCACTGAATCAGTGGGTGATTTGTTTAACCATATGCTTAGGTGGTTTTTCTTGCTCCCCGTAAACTACCCATCTCTGGAGTATCTGTGACCTGTGAATCTACAATGATGTTGAAAGGCAGAGTTAATAACTGCCAAAATGTGCTCCATGATGCATGGCCTGCAGTAGGGTCAACTGAATAAGATTTCAGCCATGTTCAGAACATTCAGCATGTCATTTTTGCTTACCATAACACATAGGCACACAGGGTTTTGAGCATGTAAGTACCGCAATTAAGCATGCATTTGATGAGGGCAGAGCACAAGGGCAGCAAATCTGTGCATAAAAAAAATAGGTGGTCAGATTAAATCCATGGCAAGATCTAGCCTTGTTTCTGGGAAGTCCAGGCACTCTTAGGGCAGAGGCAATCCAAGGTTTAGAGCTAATCCAAATCCTAGCAAGGAAGGCATAAGTCTGTTGGAGAACTTCAGTGGAGAAGGTTCCCAGTGTTTTGCTGCAGGGCTTGTGGTTTCTACTGGGACTGGTTTTGTTGCTATTATAGGTTCTATTCTTGTTACTTTCTCTCTTTCCAACTTGATTAAAAAAAAAAGTTTCCTGTTATTATTGTTGCAGAAATAAAACGAGTCATCCTTTTATGAAATTGTCATCTTGATTAAAGATGGGCTTTAAAACCCCTCAACTCCAGGTTTTAGCCTTGGGGACTATCAGATCTGAAAACGATTTCCAGATTTTTGAATCGTTCTATGATTCTATGAGTCTATGAAATCAGGTTGCAAGCATGCGTTCTTAGCACAGTTGCTTCTGAGGTGCACCCAAACCCTTAGAGAAAGTTTCTTTCTCCTTCTCCCAACATGAAAGCTTCACTTGATGTAGTTTCAAAAGTTCATGGTGATGGACCTGCTTAGAGATCTGCTGGCTGCTGGGAACAAGTGCAGCCTCCCAACAGGCACCTGTATTCTGCATTCACATTTAGCCAGTCTTAGAGAGAGCAAAGTGAGGAGGATGGGGGATGGGGATGGGGATGGGGGGGCAGGGGGGCAGAAGGGAAGGCAAAAAATATGCTGAAGTTGAGTAAAACCAGACAGAGAATTATGCAGCTTGTCTTTCAGAGCTGAGGAAATGTGTGAAAGAAGTAGGGGGTGGTAATTTCTTGTTTATCAGCAACTCTTGATCTTTATGCCTCTAGTTTACTTCCATGTCTATTTGGGGATCTTTGCAAGGTCTCAGTCTCTCTCTGTATCTCCATGATATTTACCCGGCTGCCTGTCCACCCACTGTGTGCCAGTGTGTGATGATGATCCTGTTGACTTCAGATATGAATGGGAAAGTGATGGGGCTGAAGCACAGGTGACAAAACAGGAAGGTGGCAGTCACTGGTATTGTTCACAGATCCCAGGGTCAGATTTACTCTTGATTATGAGTGGGGCAGTGGTGGGGCTTGTGTATGTGTCCATCCAGCACAGGGGTCTTGCAAGGAAAAAAGGAATTTTGCAGATGATAAGGATGAGCCTGAGTTGTCTTTCCTATGTAGGGTTGGTAAGTCTGATGCCTGAAAAAGCCATGCAAGAGGGGACCAATCTCCATGCAAAAACAAGGTCGGAAGGTGGTGGCAAGGCTCTGACCTGTCATGGTGAACACCAGAGCACAGTGTGGCCGAAGGCTTGACTCTGCAGGGCATCATATATTGGGATGCAAATGCCTGTCAGAGTGGGGTACTGGGGTTGTGGCTAAATGCCATTGTGGGGTGACTTATTTTGTTTCTTGCTGCCTCTGATGGAGTGAATTCCTGTTTCTGTAAGGGCATTTTTCCCCCAATGTATTCAGAAAAAGTGAGAGTGGAGGAAGAAGAGGAAATGCTTTTCCCTTTTAAATTATTCTAACCACATGCTTTTAAACAGGGCAGTAGTCTAACCCACTGGACTTTGAGCTGATAAAT